AACCGATAACAAATAATCGATTCGATTTATCGATAAACCGATTCGAATGCACACCCCTAGACTGGAGTGTATCGCCCTTTCTATGAGAGCTTCCATCAAACACCTGGACCTCCTCTGATTTTGCATCTTTTAAGTCAGACACTAGCGCTTTGGAAACAACTTTTACCGTTGGTCGCTTAGTAGCAAACCCCTTGGAACCACAACAGTCATATAACATTTTGTCGAACACTTGGGCTTCGCTATTTGTAGAATATTCCCTAATTGTAGCCATGTGACCTTCCGGCGATTCGAGATGTTGTTTACCAAAATGAATCCGCACTTTTGCAACAAAATGTTCCTAATCCGACAATTGCTTGTTCTGAAAAAGCCATCGGAACCACTCCAACGCTCCACCATCTAGGTACAAAGACGCACGTAATAACTTGTTGTTTTTCGATGTGCCATGGAATTCAAAGTAACGTTCAGCTTGATAAATCCATAACTCTGGATCCTTGCCACAGAATCGTTGGAATTCCACCAAAGTAGGCTCGCAGGATGCAAGGTTTTCAACCAACTCATGTAACAATGAACGGATTTCAGCGATATCCTTCGACCACGATTCCTTCACGACTTTATTTGAATCATCGATAGTTCGAAATGTTTGGCCCTCCATTGAAGACCTCTAGATGAAAGCACCAATGAAACAACCCAGATAATATACCAACCAGCTAATTGTATTAACTCTATACTAATGGGAATTACAAAGCAATTGCTAATAATAATAATAAGGACAATGCAATAGAAATATAAGAAGAATGGAGATGAGGAATACTGATACAGAATTGGGGATGAGATGAGACATAGAGTTAACACTTGACAACTTAAGCCTAGAAATGCACTACACCTTCTATTGTATTTATACTAATTTTCCCAGGCTGCACTTTCACGTTCTAAGAGCCTGCCTAAGCTCAAAATGGGTCTCACACATAATTTTCCAAATTCCAACATATATCCTCCACCGAGTGACTTGCTGAGTTCACAACACAAACATGTCAAACTATGTAATTACACCCTAATTCATTTTCAAGGTGGCCTTCCAAACAGACTCGTGTTGATGATTTCATATTTGTTACTATTAGAAATGCATATTATATCAGGAGGTACTCATGCATTTGCAACACTTGGTCTTGCTTGATGATTGTTGGGTACTTGGTAAGGAGTGATATTTGAGGTGTACATGTCCCTAATTATGGCTAGGAAATCCTGGAAATCCTACCATCATATACTGCTATACTATATCTAGGTGTCCACCAAACTCATAAATCTACAATCTAGGCCCAAAAATATGAGTTTAGTAATGGACAAGAATAATAAACAGATATCAGCCATCTGACCTAGAGAACAAAAACTGAAACTCTCTCAAGCTGATCGGAAGATCCAAAATCTGGCATGATAAAGTTTGTTTGGACGGAAAATGAACAGCCATCGAAAAGTGCCTCCAACCCACCATTTAAGTTCCTTTTTGGCCCCTACTTGAAATGATCCTGCCTGATTATTGCAACAAATTCTGAATGCAAACCATCCTCTTTCTGCTTCCATATTTCTCCGTTGGCATGTACCAACCATGATATTTGAGGGGAAAGTTGCGCGTACATATCTGCAGGTAATAAATGAAGAAATTTAAACTACTCAACAACATGCCAAAAGCAACTAAATTCTGGTGGCAATAACTTCAGCAAAGAAGAAATATATAATTTCACAATATCTGGCAACTCGTCTTCTTCTACCAATACTTCACCCTACAGACTCATCCAATCCAAAACAAGCTGTACCATCTCCAGATCATCTCATAAAATAGAGAAAACTACATCCGTTTCCCTTTTGAAAGAGAAGCTATTCAAAACAAAATGCCAAATGAATTGATTCTACAATAGTACTCTGAGCTCCCTAGCAACAATGAATGTCATTGGAGAATAAATTTTTATTACGAGAAACAGTATGTACAACTTTTTGCATTGTATAACACACTAGAATAAAAGGGCAGATAAAATTTTCTCTGCACATCAACAGACTAACCATGCTCTAAACCATGTAAATACCTGTATTAGGAGGAGGAGGAGGATCTCTTGTACTATGAAGAACCATAGTACCTGAGAGCACAGTTAAAAAGCCACAAAGCACTGAAACTATGTCGCTAGCACTCTGACCAGACCAATCCTGAAACATCACGAAAAAGAGAAAGATATTAGAAACAAAAACGAGCGATTTTCCCCATGCATACCAAACATTCACTTTCAGAAATACCTTAAACATTATGGCACTGGCTAAAATTGTAAGTGATGTGAACATGGCATAATATATTGGAGAAACCACGGCTGTGTTAAATGTGTCCAATGCCTGCAAGAGCCAAATTCAGGCATTTTATGTTACAAGTCCAAGCCAAGCTTAGCCCGAAATGCAATGCCATGTACTTTCCACAGTAATCCTCGTAAATATTAGCCCATGCATTTGAACAACTTCAATGAGTGTCAATCCATTACTGTTTTCAATCAAAACCGTACTCTCATGCTTAAACTACAATTAGATAATACAAGGGAATGTAGAAGTCTACCTTATTTAAGTAATTTAGTTGAGTAATTATACATGTAACAGCAACCATCAC